CGCAAATGGCTACCATATTGAAAAATATACTATTTTTGTATGATAATTATGGGTTTTGTATTTTATTTTAATAGAAGTTGATGTTGCTTTTGCAATTATCCATCAATTTTTTAAAAATAAACACTATCTACAGATTTGCATCGAAGCGTTTCTTATGATAGTGATTTTAATCACTGTCAGATTAAATCTATACTGGACCCTACTATGCAATGTCTCTACTATGCCGCGACCCCACTGTGCTACCGTTTTATTTTGTAGTATTTAATGAAATTACATCGCTTTGTTTTTTTATAACAATTGTAATTTTTGGGACACTTTTCTGTATGGATATTAAAAGGAATTTTTAAATACTTTGACACTCATAGTTCAACTTGATACAATATGTGAACTTTTGATGTATCATTAAGTATTATAGGTCCACTAAGATCAATTTGGTCTACTGACATACAAAAAACATAGCAGAAAAAAGCAATACCTACTCAGCTATGCATCAAAGCTAAAATGAATATTAATTTATAAATTAATTAAATAGGAATGGGAGGGAAGATATATAAAAGAAAAGGAAATTTTAGTTAAACAAATGGCCATAATAAAACAAAACATCCAGTCTATCACAAAATCTACAAACCCACTTAGTAAACTCATTAATAACATGCAAGAAAACATTGATCAAATGAATCGAGAGTTAAACCAGTGGAAAAGTTTTAATCAGCGTACTAATGAAAAATTGGATTTAGAAAAACGGTATAATTTTTAAATTAAATTATAATTTATATGTTAGTTCAACTAACCATACATTATGGTTTTATAGAATTTCTGAAGATAAAATCAATCCACTTAAAATTCAGTTAGAAAAGCTTAAAAATGATATTGAAGAAAAAATAGAAATGATAAATTATGCTAAAGCAAACATTTTCAAAAACAAATATCACATAAACTATTTAATAACTGAGCGTTTCACTAAATGAATTAATTATTAAAATTTAAACTGGGAGTATTTTTTTTTTATTTTTAATTTCAATACTTATTTATTTATTGATCATCAGCTAAATTAATGTGCATAAGAATGAATAAAAACTAGTTGTTTTACATAATTAATAATAGTAAGTATAATGATGTTTTTTTAATTCATTTGCCAAAAAAATAATAATCAGGTTAACAAGTTGTAAAAACTTAAATACTAGTTGTAATAATACTTGAATGATTTGAATGATCAAGTATCTTAAATCGTTAATGAAAAAATTTTTTTTACCTTATTCTAATGAAATATGCAACTCAACATTTTATTTTTTATTGTTAATTTTAATTAACTTTTTTATATAACTTATCTGTAATTTATATCAATTTATAATTAACAGTTTTCGAAAATAGTTTTTAAATATAACATGGAAATTAATACTATATACTCTGTAGTCATTAGCCATGTGCATTAACAAATAATATTTTAATGATACATATTTAAAATTATTAATACAAGTTATTTTTATTAAAGGTATTAACATCATAATATTAAACAAAAATCAATTATATAGCTTTAATACAAAAATAATAAAACAGGAATCAATCTAATCACATAAGAATAGTTATATGCAAACATTACTTTATAGTACATTTGTATTAAAATCCTAAGTATGAAATTAGTTCAGAAAATATAACTGTTATTCTTAAATTGTCAACTAAAATTTAATTGCTTACTCAACAAAAACGAAAAATACTAGATTAATAAAACTAACATATGTAAAATTAACTAAATAAAATTATTTTATATCACAGAGAAAACATTTCTTCTTCTTTTTGTTCTAATCGTTGTCTGGAATTCATCAGTTTTTTATTTTGTGTTATGATAACTGGTAAATCATCAACTGCAGAAGAAATACCCTGAATTCTACGCATTGACAATCTCTCACGAGTAAAAATTACTTGTTCTTCTGGACAATATCTATATAGATACACAAGGAAAAATTAAAAAAAGGTGTTTACAACACAAAAGTAAAATGAATTGACTTTTTTTATTTTAACAATACCATACATTATAAATGACAATTTTAATTAATATTAGAAAAGGTTTCAGAGTATACACATCAAAGGGCTCAAAGAAAATTTGTTGGTATATCTTTATCAATTACCTTTGAGAATTGTCATTTTTGTTTACAGCCTTAGTAAAAAAAAAAATATATATATTAAAAAGTAGTGATGTTTAAACCATTCATTTTCAAACCAAATCAACTTTGAGATACTTGGTACAGTTTAAAAATAGAACATAAAATTAAAAAAAAATTGAACCAAACTGTTTCTTTGTAAATAGATTTGACAATCTGACTGGTATAATCAAATATCGTACCAGATTTTTTGAATAATGATATAGTTTTACCTAAAAATTATTAAAATTTATGTCTGTTTCAATTCAGGTTCAACTGAAAAATTAAGTTTTGGTTTGGTTTTATTTCAAATTAAAAGTTAAGAATTCGGTTTGATTCTAAATACAAGATTTATAACATCACTATTAAAAAATAGTCTAATTGATTTTCTTTTAATTTTCTTTTAATGACAATTAAAAAAACTGTTTAAACTTAAAAACTTTAGGACTAACATTTTGAATGATAAAAAGAGAGGTATAGTACCTTCACTTACTAACCCAATTACAATCTAACTTTTTAATAGTTGATACAAATAAAAAAAATTTTTATTTTAATTCTTTAGCCTACATTTATTTAATAAGTGTGTAACAAAAAATTAGCCACTTTTATCTAATTGTATCTCGATTTATTTAATTGATTGAATCAATTTTTTTAACAACAATAAAAATCAGAATGCTATTTAATTCATTTTATAAACTTACACACTTCTATCTTGACTTTCAATAACTTGTGCTCTTGCACTGGCAATTTTACTGTCAATTTTGTTAAGGAAATTATTGCAATCATCTAAATTATATTCATTGCATGATGGTGACTTCAATTCATCATTATTTTTTATAATTTCATTATTATTTTTTGTAGCATTAACATCTCCTGTTGGTATATACAAGTGTTCCCTCAAGAATAAGCTATCATTTGTAAATAGACGATTCGCTTTTCTTATTTGTTCGGTCTAAAATTAAAAATATTAATTAAATATTCAAACTTTTCATAATAGAAAAACCACTTTAAAAACGCTTCTATTATTGAGCAACACATTTATTTATAATTAATTACAGCATAGAATGATGGACAGATTTAGAATAAAGTCAACAAAAAATTAAAAACACAATTCAATGCATTTATAAAGACATAGAAATTAATTTATTCACACTCCTACAAAGTTGATAAAACTGAATTTGGTATAAAATCTTAAGTGATAAACTACAAAACCCAAATCATCATGGCTCAAAAGCAAAGTTAAAGCCAATAAACTTAGTTTTCTTATTTGAAACATACATATTTAAAAATAATAAGTATACTTATTACAAATAAAATGGAATTCTTATAATATATCATGAAAAATTTTTTTAAGGCAGAATAAATGTACTATTGTACTAGTAGTAAAAGTAGATTATTATATTAAATTGTAAATTTAATTCAGTTAGATACACTTATTATTACTATTATTTTTTTTTATGCTAATAACAAAATGATTTTAAAAATTATTATAAATAATTATAAAAAATATTATCAATCTTTAACTTTCAATAAGTGTCATTTTGACTAAATGAATTGCAATGTTGCAAAATATAACCATAAGCTACTTAAATTCATATTCAAATAAATGTAAATAATTTAATTAACTTGTTGATTAAATAGACAGGTTGTAACATCAAGAAATTTATAAAAAATTTACATAAATAATATTAAAAACTTACAGTTACACTATACTTTAACGCCAAGCCTTGCAATGTGTCAGTTTCAGAGACAATATGTTTAACATATTGTGCGTTTGGTAAAAAACTGGAGTTACTATTAATGCTTCCATATTTCCTCAGTGGTTTTGTATTGTCACGAATACTAATTCTTTCATCCATTTGTTATATATTTAATTGTTGCATTATGTAACTTCACAAATACATTTAACAAAAATCGAGAGAAAAATATTTACCGTTACAACATATGGTTGGAATTTTTAGTTTTCGAAAATGTATTAAAACTAAAAATAAAATTACTTTATATTACTTTTACCTAAATTTTTTTTCTAAATTTTATACAAATTATTTTAAGTAGAACAATGGTATGTTAATCGCAAGTTAAAGATTAGTCACTTTCTTATCTTCAAAATTTAAATTAACATAATACGCAGCGATACTATTGTATCAAATTTATTGAAAATTAACATAATTGTTATTACAAAATAGTTGGAAGAACCAACTTACAGAATATTACTATAATTACCACCCAACCACCATACTTTATCTTATCAACTTTCTCATCATTGATAATGCAATAATCATAGAAAATTCATGGTAACCAAAGACTACATAAAAAGTATTCAAATAAAAATAATGTAAATAGCTGTATAACGGCCTACACCGCCGAAATTTCTACCAATCAAAGAGCTTGAATATTTACTATTGTTTTCGACGGAATGGACTATTTGATTTCATAAATCAGATCACTCAGTTTACCTTGTGGTCTGTGTGTTTATCAAATGAATAAAGTATAGCACTAATAATTAATTATTCATTTTGTTTAAATAACCTACAGTTACGAATTTTGGTAAGATATTTATAAAATCAAAGGAAATTAATTAATTCTTTTCCCCTTAGAACTTCTAATTAACTGAAGTATTTCTGAGTTTCTACACTAATAATATATTACGGAGTAACTCCAACTAAAATTTTTATATAGTTTATCCTAATATGTGTGCGTTTCAAATCTAAAAATAAGAAAATAATGTTGATGTTTTTTTTATTGTTTTCTTTTAGTTCAATGTTTTTCTAAATTTATTAATCATGAAGTATTTGTTATGTTCATCCCTCACTCCCTAAAAAAGTGTCAACTATATATATAATAACTTCTGAAATTCTAGTCCAAAAAATGTTTTCAAACTAATTTATTTAATGATATCATTATCTAATAAATAAATTAATTATGTGTTTTTGTCATAATATGCTAAAAATCCTCCTATATTATAGATGAAATTTTATGTCAATGATATAACAATAGAAAAGTTAATACATTTTTGTTTCATAATGCTCTTATTACGAGGATTCGTAACTTAACAAAATAACTCAATTTTTCATAAATCCATGAAATTTTTTAATTTTTACTTATATTCTTGCCTACTTGAAAGTCCTTACTTACTAAAAGAATATTATTAGTAACTATTTTTTTTCTTAAATAGATGTATTCATCATTTTAATCTTAATTTAGAATTATCAAAATATGATTAAAAAAAAAAAATTAGAGTTATCTTGTTTTTGCATAGAGTTCTTCAATTAATTGTTTTAGTTAGTCTATCATTACACTCTAACATTAAAAGAATTTACTAATTTTCAGTGATATAATTACTGATGCTTTCTGAATATTTTTCAAAACCAAATAACAAATCCAATGTTGATGAAATTGTGTACAATTATTTGCAACTTGAAAATGATCTCCAATCTAATTTAGAAGAATTGAACTTTGGACCAGATATCTCTTACATTTACAAACCTCTAACTTATGCTTCTGACTTGCATAAAAAATTTGTTACCAAGTTCCTTTTCAGCCATAGAAATGTATTATTTTTGGGCATGAACCCTGGTCCTTGGGGAATGTGTCAAACTGGAGTAATAACTTAATTTAAAAATAAATAATTTGCTATTTATTAAGCTTTTATTTCTTTATAGATTCCGTTTGGTGAAATTAATGCTGTTAAAAATTATTTACAAATTGATGGTGAAGTTAATATTCCCCAAAATATTCATCCTTCAAGACCTATTTTGGGTTTAAATTGTACAAATAAAGAAATAAGTGGTCAAAGATTTTGGGAACTTATTAATGAAGAAAGTGACGGTGATCCATTTAGATTCTTCAAACATTGCTTTATACATAACTACTTTCCTTTTGCATTAATGAACAAAAATGCCAAAAATATTACCCCTGCTGAATTAAAGGTAAATTTAATATATACTGTTTACTTTTATATAATCCTAACACAAATTTACAAGTTTCCCATAGACCACTACAAGCCAATTATCTAAACTAATGTTAGGCAATAACAACAGTAAATTAATAAATTTCCTTACGAATAGTTATTAAAATATCTATTTCAACTAGTGATGGGCATTTTCGAATATTTTAAACTATCGAATAGTATTCGATAGTTTTCGATAATAGTATGCATTTCAAATGCTTGCCAGAGAAAGTTGTTTGAAGTAACATTTATATGTTGTATAAAAAGTTAAAAGTATTTGATTTTGCTATTTTTATAATAAATATCATCCTTCCCAATGTGAAATGTAATATATTTAATCTTCATTATTACCTCTTTATCAATATACTCTTACTAGGTTCATATTTAAATAAATTATATTAATGTGTGTTAAGTAATGTTTTATTTTAATTATATTTTACGTCTGAACCAATCAATAATTTGTATCGTCAGATGTGTTTTAAATGCAAATAATACTATATAGATGTATAAAATAGAAAAAAAATTTACAAATATTACTTAAATTCAATAATCTAAAGATACAACATCGAAAAAAAATTAGGATAAAATACAAATAATTTCATTAGTCAATGAGATTCGATCCAGAGTTTGTATGCGCCTTAGAACAATATGTTCTCAGTTCGACAATTACACGCTGTGCTCTTCAAGAGGAAAATAACTATTTAAGCATAAAAATTTTCAAGACTTAGTGGGGGCATGAGCAAAAAATTCAAAATATATCTGATTTTGTATTCAATATACATTAGATCCATATAAATTTAATGAAAATCGTCGTCCTCCTTTTGTGAGTCTTAATCAATTGTATTTCACAAGTCAAAAATGCTTAATTGTAAATGTTAAACAGAATAGTGAATTGACTTTTCTAAATTTTATTTGATAATAATTGGTAAACAGGTTATTATGAGAATTTCTTATAACTACATTTTGATCTAATGTAGAATTTCTACAACACTTACATACTGATAAAATAAATAAAAATGGTTTTTATTTTGTTTCAAAATTAATTATTTTATTAATAATTTCTTTAATAAGTGTTTTAGCTATAAATTTGTTATTTTCGTTCAGTTTTGACAATCTATTAAGGACCTTAATTTTTAATTTGATTAACTTCCTATAAAGATAGGTTTCTCAATCTTTTATACTCTGAGGCAAGAGATAAGTACAACCATAAATAATGACATACTTTTAAAATAAATAATTTACCAGCATTTTTAATAAGACTATATATAATTTTTTTTTTTAGAGTGATAAAAGAAAACATCTAGAAAATATTTGTGATGAATCATTAAGAAGTATAATTGAATTGTTAAATGTCAGTATAATTGTTGCAATTGGAAAATATGTTGAAAAAAGATCTTTAGAAGTGGTTAAACAATTTAATTTGTGTAATGTAAAGGTAAAAAGTCCAACTAAGTATTGTTACAATAAAAATAATATTAATATAAATTTGAAATTTATTTTAGGTTATAAATATCCGTCATCCAAGCCCTCGTGCTCTTGGCACTGCTGAAAATTGGAAAATTGAAACTATAAACCAGTTAAAATCCAATAATATCATTCAACTTTTCAAGTAAAATGACTTGGGAAAAATACATGAAAATTTCTCTCGACTTAGCAAAAGAAGCATTACAAGCTGGTGAAGTACCTGTTGGTTGTATTTTCATTGATAAAGATGATAAAATTGTTGCTACAGGGTGTAACACGGTTAATGAAACAAAAAATGCTACTCGTCATGCTGAGGTTAACTGTGTTGATAAACTAGTGAATGATGGTTTATCAAACAAATTCTCAGAATTAACAGTTGTTGTGACTGTAGAACCTTGTATCATGTGTGCAGCTATGCTAGTTAAAATTGGTTGTTCTACAATTATATACGGTTGTGCAAATGATCGTTTTGGAGGCTGTGGTACTGTTTTTGAGTGTCCCGGATTATTAAATTGTAAAATTCAAAAAGGTATTCTTGCAGAACAAGCAATGGATTTATTAAAGTTATTTTATAAAGGGCAAAATCCAAATGCACCAGATAGTAAAGTAAAAAAAAAAATTAAAAAATGTTAATAATTTAAGTTACATATATTTTGTTATTTTATATATTAAGTTTTAAAGTATATTCCAAGATGATTAATTTCTACACTAAAAGAATTCATTGAAATATTGTTTTTTGATTTAAAAATTAATGATTTTGTCATATTTATCATAATAAAACCATTTTCATTAAAGTATCCTTCTGTATTAATAACATTTAACCACACAAATAGACCTAATCCTGTAGATTGTAATTCTACCATTACTTCATAGTTGTTTCTTTGTTCAATTTTGGAAATCTGAAATAATTATAATCTTATTACTTTATTATCTTGTTTGGAAAATATCCTATCTAATTAAAATTACAAAATCAGAACCCATTAAAAAATGAAATAACTTTTTTTTTAACATTGAAACACTGAAACCAATTATTTGAGAAACAATGCATGTTTATTCATATAGTTTTATAAAATCAGTAAAAAAAAATTTAACTACGATTGATAAATCACTTTTAAATAGTGTAAATCAAAATGAAAATTTCAAACTGAAATATTTTGAAATTTCATCTTAAAAATTATTTATAATTTATCCACATTAATTAATTTGCACTTAACAATTTATTTTTCCAAATATTATGACTGTCGTTTCTCAAATAAATAGTTCATTTATGAAACAATTGTAAAGTTTACAGACAACTTGGCTATCTTAACCCTATGATCTAAAACTAATACTTATAATTAATATAATACATAACAATAATAATTATTGATTATTTAATTTTTACATTTTAACCAATTTAACATAATATTTTAAATTACTGTCTTTTATGACATGAAAAAAAAAATTAATGTTTTTTTTATCACAATTATTGAGTCCTTGCTATCAGCAACAAGATATAATGATCTTGATCTGAAAATGACTTATTCTAACTTAAATTATTTATATAGTATCACTAACTGATATAATTGGTGTTTGGTATCCAGATATATTAATGAATGAATTAGGAAACAAATAATTTGAAGGAGATAATTCAGTGCCATTTGTAAAGTATAACATGGTGTGTAAAAAACAATTTTTACTTATTTCATCACTATTTGACCCACATTTTAATGTTTTGTTAATAATCCATTCTACAAAATTTTCATTTACAATGTAACTTGCACTGTTTTTTTCCTATAAATAAAACTTATGAAAGGTCAAAAAATTCAATAATTATTTTAGGTTATACAAACCAAATTAATGTTTTTGGATAAATATGTATTAAGGGGCTTAATACTACTCCATTGATAAATTTCTATTTTTATTTGAACTTTCAAATTGGTCAAAAGATCAGACACAATGTGAATTGTTAGATTTTTCATGCTTAACTCTGGAACTACTATTACTGGAGCAAAAAATTCCATGGCACTATAATGTAACATTTTCCAACATCCATCATAATCTATAGTTATAATTTTTATTATGACTTCTTTTTAAAAATATAAACAAAATAATATACCTATGGAAGACCACGTGGGTGCTTGCCACACATCGTTTAATTGCCAATATAATGCTCCCATTGTTAAACCCTTGCCATCTTTCAATAAAGTATTACGGTTTTTTCTATACCATTCTGTCTGTGTTTTTATTGCTTTGGCTTGAACTACCTATCAAGTTAAGGTAATATTACACTTGATCTAATCAAATACTATAGATTCTCCTATGTCAATTTTTTTGTTATTTTGAATAGTGTTTAAGTCCCCTAGAATTTTGATACACCTTTTTTTATATTTTAATAAAACTCAATACTACGAAATTTTTGATACATAGAACTTTTTCTACTACTCTGAGATTCGACATAACAAGAATCTAATGTATAATAAAGTAATGAATTTTAAATTATAAAGAAGCAAGTAGCTTACTTGACTCAAAAATATATAATCTGATATAGAGGGTCTTTTAGGAACTGGTACATTCATTTTTATTTGTAATAACATTAATATATATCCTACTGGTAAATGTTGTCTATGAATGAGAGCAGGTGACAGTAATTTACTTAAATCTTTTTCATTTAATGCTTTTTTCAATGTTTGATACGATGGTAATGATTGATATCCATATTCAGATGCAAACCTAGTCCACGGGTAAAATGTAGACTTCCAACTATTAACTACATAATTGTAATAATGCACTAAAAATTAAAATATAAAAAGTTAAACTGATTATTTGAATAGGAACATTAGAAACATTAGAAATTCATATTTGGTAGGACATAAATAAATAGCTCAAGGTAGCTATTTATTTATGTCCTAAATTTTGTTTATTCAATTTTAGTTGATAATAATCAATAAAACAAACGTTTTAAGATCAACATTGCACTGTCAATAGAGGGGTGCATGCACTCCTATGCCCATCTCTAAAAACACTACTGTATTTGAGCAAGGATTAATAATCATTAGTTATACCAATAAGAAAATTAATTACCATTGTTTTTTTCAAATAATTATTCTAATTGTAATGACAATTGATTAAAAAATAATCATAGGTTGGAAAAACTATCTCTGTAATTGATCTCTACATTTGTTTATAATAAGTAGCATTTGTTTTTATCTTTTTTTAGCTTCAATGTGAAACTGAGAAGGTATTAATTTTACAATGATGAACTTTTTTTGTGTATATGTCTATTACTAATATGTTATCTAATCGTAAACATTAACCTCAAATTTAAAAAAATTCCCTTGTTCCTCATAAATGGGGGAACCCCCCAAAAATTGCAATTTTAAAAATCAGTAATTTTAATTTTTTCTTTTTTTTTTTAACTACCATAACTTATTTAAAAATGAACAAATCAACATAATTAACTTTTGAAAATGCTCACACTTTTATATACATCTTAAATTAAAGCTTAAGTAATATACTTTTATTTGAAAAAAAAATTTCGAACTTTATTTTGTCTTCATAGTGAAAACGGACTTCAAAGTTAATAAAAAAATACGATTTTTGTAATTTTTAACACTTAATGGGATTGCATTCTTTTCTTTTTAAGTTAGAAAAAATTTTCAACTCAATTGATTTTTATCTCATTTAAATTCAATCACTTCAATGAATATCATGAATATTAAGTAGTGTATTAAGATATAATTAAGGAAATATGAGTTTATATTGCTTTTGCACAAATTTCTAAGAGTTAAACAGTATCTACAGATGTTCATCGAAGCGTTTCTTATGTAGTGATTTTAATCACTGTCAGTAATTATCTATACTTGTCCCAACTATCCTATATCCATACTGTGCCGCTACCCCACTATGCTACCCTTTTTTTTTTTAATTTTTAGTAAAAAAAATTTCTTTTAGCGTACTACGATATTTAAATATTTGAGCCACCTCCGTTAAAAATAATTCTAAATGTACATCTAAATTGATTGAATATATAGTTAAGATAATAATTTTACCATCTCCGTATAGAGCGCTGTAGGGATTCTTAGCAATGTAATTTTCTTTTTCGGAATCCAACCCATTGGAAGGACTTGATAATACGTAATTCCTTGTCTTATCCTCGTTTATAACTACCTCTCTAATTGTTTCAGCATATAATTTTACGTAATCTCTAGCAAATGTGGAATAGTTTTTTTCTGTCCCGTACCAATTTCCTCTAAGGGCTGCTTCATTTTCATTATTGCCAGCCCATAAAACTATACTTGGATGATATTGTAGCCTTCTGATTTGTTGTTTTACTTCCACTTTCACCAAATTTAAAAAACTTTTATGAGCTGGATACATGCCACAAGCAAACATAATATCTTGCCAAATCATTATTCCATATTTGTCACAAATCTGTAATAAAAATACAAAAGGCAATTTTTTTTTTTATAAAACATTTGATTTTTTTCAAAAGTAATAATAACTCACGAATTATTATTATAACTTTAAATTTTTTAAAATATTTCTTTTTATTATTTTTATAATAGTTATTACAACAAATAATATACAAATTTATTGCTTGAGTATCTAAAAAATGCAGTTTTTCTCCAACACAATTTTTTTAATCTTTTTGTTTTTTTTAAACCGATTCTGAATATGCAAAAATAAAATTATGGTTAAAAATAGTTAAAATGTTATAGCACTGAAGTTTACATATAATGCTGTTTGAAGCCGCGCGCACTCCATTAATATTCTTTCTTATTTTTCGTTAGTGGCGTGTTAGAAGGTTTCGCAACTTAATTTCTGTTAAAGCTAAGTTTGAATTTTTATTCATTTTGAATTTTCCTAAATAAGTTTTAAGTGAGCAAAAAAATAGAGTAATAACCCTTCATCATTGATATTATTTTTTGGTTGGGTTAATGGTTATTGTCAAAGATTCATAAAGGGAAAAAGCTAATTGTGAGTACCTATAAATATAATTATACATACTATAGAGGCTTCCAAAACTATAATCTTATAAGATTGCAGTTTTGAAAGGCTTTACCTTGAAGTTCAATTTTACATTGTTTTTTAAACAAATATTACTAGTCAGAACACATTTTGATATCACCTGTGTGTGCTGGCTCCGGTGACCGACTCAAGTCTCTTTGGGATTCTCGTGGGGTGGAAGTTTACGCCTCACAACCCCAAAGGAAAGAAACTCGAGGCTAATTCCTACCTAATTAAATCATTGAACTGAAAGGTGCAGTGACCCAACAAGTCCCCCAATATCGTCATTCATATGGATATTATGTTTTTATTAGAATTCCGTTATAAAAAAATGAAAATTTTGTGATCACCTACGCCTATTGGCTTCAGTGAGGAGCTTACCTCAGAGTTAAGAAACTAACTTAATTCCAATTTTAAAATGTTATAACTTTTCAATTATTATTAAGAAATATTATATTTTTTTGGTCTTAATCTGTGTAAAAAAAACATGAAAAATCGTGTGAGAACTTAACTGCATTTATGCCGAATTCACAAACGCATAAAACGATTTTTTTATAGATAAAATATATTATATAACGTATTATAACGTTGTACACAGATAAAAATAAACAGAAACCATAAACATACGAGTAATATTTTACAACAACATTAAGCATATTAATCGTTTTATAACGTTATAAAAATAAATAATACTTATATCTTATTAATTAAAATGACGTAGTAGGAATTAAATTATAATGAAGTGTTAGATTAATTTCAGAGTCTAAAATAATGAAAATCACCACCTTTCTACTACTTATCTATAATAATTTACGTCAATTGAAAGAGGGTCTAATAAATAAATATGCCACTACTCAATAAAACAAAAAAATTAAATATCCTTAACATTTCAACACTCCAAACAATAATTTATTTAAATTTAGCGTCCTGTAAAAGACACGATACTAAAAAATTATACTTTATAGTGAAATAATCAATTCTAGTACCTTATAAAATTCGTCAGACTCATATACACCACCACCCCAAACCCGAATCATATTCATATGAGTATTTCTAGCTGAACTCAAAAGATTTTCAATAGTTTCCATATTATTCATTTGCTCTGGAAAAACACTTGACGGAATATAATTAGTGCCTTTAGCGAAAATTGGCACATCATTAATCTTAAAATAAAACGAAAGTCCTAAAAATGTTGAAAATAAATAAGTTATTAAGTTGCAAGCACATTTAGACAGGCAAAAAGTTTAAAAGCAAAATTTTAGCAGGGGTGATCAGAACACAGGGGCAAGGGAGCAATTGCCCCTCAGGCTGTTGTCTGTAGAACAGAAAAGAGATCCACAATAGTTAGGCGTAATCAGATTTGTAAACTTGACTTTAATTTCTTTTTTGCGCATCATTTATTTTTATAGAGCAATTCAAATTTTTTATAAGCGAACTGATCCGCTAAAATTTTTTTGCCCGCTGGACCATTGACAACTCAGTCCACTCTTGATTTTATGTATATTGATTGTTACTAGAATGAAGTACATGATAAGACCAACATAGTTTTAGAAAATCGAACCGAAAAATAATATATAAGCCTCTTTAATTAAATTGTCTGAACTATGCTTTATTATGGTAAATATAATGAAAATATTTTTTTAAATATATTTTTTTCCAAAATCACGGTAAAAAAGAAATGTTTGATTAATTTATTAATTGAAACTTAAAAACCAGGTTTCATATTTTTATTATATAAGAGCTTTTTTAAAATAAAAATCTTAAAGAAATAAATGAATGCGTACCAATAAATATTAAATACTGACAGCGTTACACATCATTTTAGAGACAAGGGCATAGCCAAGGCCGTATTTTATGTTCAATTCACAAATAAAACAACTAGATACACAAACGCCTACTCTTTTCAGATAATTTTAATATTGATTTTAATAAGATTCTAATTTTGCTATTTATTACTAGACAAAGTCTTATATTAAATAGTGAAAATTTAGATAAATCACTTATCCATAGAGTCAACTAGGGAACGCTGAAAGGACTTAGTCCCTCTAGTTAACGAATTAGTCCCCTTAATTTGAAAAACTGCGCAGGGTATCCGATCATGTTCTGACAAATCCTATAACTTCAGCTCAATTGAATATTTTTTGTTACTTTCTATAATAAAACATTTATTAGAACTTAGGAACTCTAATAATTAACATTATAAAAAATATATACTTTTCATTTTATTAAAAATAAAAAATGTTTAAAAACTTATAGATAGCAAAAACGTATAGAATTTTACAAAATAGATTACAATAAAAAGTTGGTAGCAAAATTTTTTGTGATTTAATTTTTAGAGAATTTTCCTGTGTTTATTTTATGTTGTCAAATGTTGTTCTATGCTCATCAAAGGTAGATAAAAGCACAAATTATCAATAGGGCGGCAAACTTTTTTTAAATATTTGGTTTGATTATATTATGCTCATTTGACACAGTGTTGGAGGAGGAAACCTAACTTTCGCAGGCTTCGACATAAGCTCAATTAAAAGATACGATGATCTTAGATCGGTTGTCGAATTACTTTACATGAAACACAAGTTTTTGGTGGACAAATAAAAAGATAATACGCTCCCCGGATATTATTTTCTGGACGCGCCACTGAAAGGTACTATCAAATTATTCTATGCATTCTACTTATGAAAATGTAATTTTTTTTTTACCAAAATATTAAATGACAGTGCTCTTGGTCGAAATACTACAAGCTATTAATCTATAAAAATTACACTCTTAATCCTGACGTTCATAATATAATTTAATAAAAATAAAATGTTGTATCTTATAATTAAAAACACATTTATTTCGCAAAATTACATAATATACAACAATTATAAAAATTAACCAAGAAAAGAGGGGTTGTTTTTGAAGTGCCTAAGTGCTTGTCAAAAAGCGGATAGAGCGTTCAACGGTCGCCGCAATCTAGTTGAAAAACTTTACACCAAATCTAAAAAGCAGAGGTACTCTAATCAAGCTGGATTCATTATTACATGGACTCGCTATGTAATAAAGCAGCTGATGAGAGCGACGAGATGTCCGTATAATAAGCGTATTGATAATAATATGGTACCGTGTCAATATATGGGGGCTAAAATGAAATAAATGAGATTATAAGCCCTCATTTAAATTAAAGCTTTTTTTAAAGATGATTTCTAATGATTATTTATCAAAGAGTATTGGAATATACTCCTTGATGCCACATCCACCACCATAGGCGTTGTAGTTTGAAAAACAATTGGAGTGAGGCTAAATTTATTTATGCCCTCCATAAAATTATTTATATACTAATGATTTTCCTGAATTTTTAGCAGGGTTAATTTTAATATTGGAGAACCCCAAAACTACTACTAGACTATTTAGTGTATAATAATAAATTGTAGTATAAAATAAAATAAAATTATCCTAAGAAATTAAAATAATGAAAAAATGTATGAATAATGTATATTTTTCATCTATACTTTATTATATATTTGTTCATTATTTACTTTTCATATATATTTATATATTTTGGCCAACCCCGGGTAGTTTGAATAATTGCGAAGAAAAGTAGTATTATAAGGTATTTAAGTATTTAGAAATACTATAAAAAATAGATTTTCTTGTTGTAATTTTTATGGTATATAGTTAAAATGTATTCTTCTTAAAAAACTATCTTTTATATGGAAAGTGTACCGAAAACCATTTGAAAAAGAGACGTGGTACAGAATTAGAACCCGCGACCAAAGGCGTCGAAAGTTACAAACCTTAACACATGACCACGGCGCACTCGTGAAACGGATCTCAATACACTTCCATATATATTGATAACATGGTGTGCAGCTAAAGGAAACACAGTACTGTGTAAGATTAGTATTAAAACTTAGTCACTTATAAATTATAATTCAACTTAGATTTATTTTTAATCTAACTTAACAACACTAGTTAGAAAAAATGACTAACTTGAGTGGCCTAAATTCTAAATGAAAGAAGACTGATTATTGATTTATTATGGAGTAAAATTAAAAAAAATAATACAATTTTTTTTTTTCTGAATTAACTAATTGACGCGTTAAAATCTAATCAATTGATAGCGTAAGATTTTAACTGGTCAAAAACCCAACCCTAATTTACATATACCAAATTTCAAGTCTAAAACATAAACGGATGTCCCAACTCTGACTTACCCGTAAGAAAATTCAAAAAAATTTTTGAGTAATAGAGTACATTTGTCGATATTATTCATATTCTTAGGGTTGACCCAAAACTAAAAATATGGGAAGTTTTTAAAAAATTATATTCACTCAAATACTTTTATTAAAAATTACCAACTGAAATGAAAGAAAATTTGTCAATAGGAAGGAGGGTCGCCCTCCTAACTACCCATTGAATACGCTACTAATTACAACTGCTTTAGATATTATAGATTTTAAAGTATATTATACTGTACAGATATTAAATACATTTTATACCTTTTTCGACATTATTTTTGTCAACAAGTTCTTGAATGAGTTCAGCTGTTCTAAATCCTATTTTAATAGTTTTTGTTTGGGTACTTATTCTACTAATAAATTCTACTTTCAAATTATAAAGCTTCTGTTCTCCGTAACCATTTGGCCACCACAATTTAATTTTTGTCTGAAAAAATCAATTAATAATTCAATTTTGATAATTTTAATCTATTTAAATAATAATTAAAATTACTCGAAATATATTAAGCTATTTAACTTATTATTAAACTTATATGTGTCTACGAATAAACCAAAAAATTAAGTTTGAAAAATATTAAACTTAATTTTATAATGTGTATAAATATTCATATCTTCTAAAAAATATCTTAACAAAAGCGAGTACACATCTAAAGATAAGAAATACGATAATTTTCCTGAAGGCTCGTATTTATAAGGTCTCAGTTTATAAAATTAATTTGATAAAAGCAAAAAAAAGTTGTCAGAAATATTCGAACAAATTTTCGGTATCAGAGGTTGGTAATAATATAATTATAATGAAACACACACACACATAAATATATATATATATAGATACACAATATAACTACGTAAATTAACGTAGAGCAACATTTATGATTGTCCATGATAAATGCTCATATTCAGTTTATTACCTTGGGCACGTATAATTCAACAACAATATGAATTTCGTCATTAGTGCAAATTTCGTTGCAACAATCCCGTTCATTTATAAACTTCGTATTGTTATCTACATTTAGTGACAACCTGATTGAACCTTTAACAACTTCTTGGTAACATTTCATATAAGTATCTGATTTTAATAACCAATGAGATGAATTAACAGTTGCTACATCTATTTTGATGTCTTCTAATATAGTTTCACGTAGCATTATTAACTTAACACTTTTCCTAAATAAAATTAACTAACAATTAATTTTCCTAAATTTACACGTTGCAACAGTGAAATCATCTATAATAACAAATATAAATATTTAATAGGTTATAAAACCAAATCTAGACATNACAAATATAAATATTTAATAGGTTATAAAACCTATTTTTTACACAAAAAATATTTATAATCCGAAATTTATTTTTTGAACAATAATAGTTGAATAGTGAAGTAGGAGTGGAGTTACAACTCTCTTGAAATAATTTTATCGTTTTATTCAGTAATTTTTAAATTTATGATGTTGCTACCCCCTTCCGCCCAAAAATATATTTTATATCCGTAAAAATATTTCTTTCCCTTGATATTTTTATTAACTTTGAGTCCTAGTTGTTGGCACGTGCCTTTTGTACTCATTTCTTCATAAATTTAATACATATAAAATAACCTTTTTTTGATTTACTCCAATGCTAAAATAACAACCTATATTTAACTTCATAGTTAAATTTAAAATGTAACTAAAAAATAATAATTTTATACAATTTCAAAAAATAAAAAACGGTAGCACAGTGGGGTCGAGGCACAGTGTAGACAAGGCATAGATGGGACAAGTATAGATGATATTTGACAGTGATTAAAATCACTATCATAAGAAACGCTTCGATGCAAATCTGTAGATAGTGTTTCATTTAGAGAAATTGGTGGATTATTCCAAAAGCAACATCAACTCTTATTTCTTTGATTATATCCTAATTAGTAGTTCTTTGATTTTAAAATATAATATATGAATAAATACTAATTATAATTATTAAATTTAGTATGAAAATAAAAAAGTAAAAAAAATTTAATAAGTTTAATTTCTTATGTCTTATGACCTTAATTCTATGTCAATTAAATTATATAATATTCATGAAAGTCAATATATGCTCCTAATAAGATATTTTAAAATAAAATAATATACAAAACCTAGAATTTTAATAGAAAAATAGCATATTTTTGAATACGGTATCCATTTGCGCATAGAAGATAGGTCGTCGGGACAAATTTTTTAGTTAGTTTTTGTAAAAAAGTTGCTATTTTAAATCCCCCTTGTGAGCAGAATAAGTGTTAGATTTTCAAAAAAAAATGATATCAAACGAAAGGAAATTACCTAAGGTTTCAATATAAGAAAATATTATTTTGATTTGTTAAGATTTAAAAAAGTTATGGCAGTTTTAAAAACAAAAAACATCCTTATAGAAGGTGATTTTTATCGCAAATATTACATTTTTTTTTAAATTTTGACAGCAATTTGCACATAGTAGATAGGTCGTCAAAACAAATTTTTTTTTTCATTTTGTAATACATAAAATATGCTTTAATTTGATATATGTTTAAAGGACGCAGTATTTCCGGAACATTTTCAAAAATTAAGTTGAAAAAGTTAGTTTTTGTAAAAAAGTTGCTATTTTAAATCCCCCTTGTGAGCAGAATAAGTGTTAGATTTTCAAAAAAAAATGATATCAAACGAAAGGAAATTACCTAAGGTTTCAATATAAGAAAATATTATTTTGATTTGTTAAGATTTAAAAAAGTTATGGCAGTTTTAAAAANCAGTGTAGACAAGGCATAGATGGGACAAGTATAGATGATATTTGACAGTGATTAAAATCACTATCATAATAAACGCTTCGATGCAAATCTGTAGATAGTGTTGTTTCATTTAGAGAAATTGGTGGATTATTCCAAAAGCCNACAGTGATTAAAATCACTATCATAAGAAACGCTTCGATGCAAATCTGTAGATAGTGTTGTTTCATTTAGAGAAATTGGTGGATTATTC